GACTGATCGACTTATTTTTTTCAGTTACTGATCCCTTAACACTCCAGCAACTTAAAAGATTGAAGAAACGCCAGTAAATCTTGAAGCACTGCCATCCTGAAATCCGTATGTGGTTAAATCCTGTGAGCAGGGTCTGTTCCTTGTTGTGATATCTTACCGTCAAATTTTCTTTATCATGGCTGTTAGTGGGACTTTGATGTGTACCAATTGACTCCTGCATTCCCCTAAAAAATACAGCCATTACACTTTACAGTAAATCCTGCGATGCTCTTTAAAATGGCTAGATGTTTAAGCGCTCTGGGACGCTACCTTGCATGAGGAGTGCTATGTAAATCCAAGTTGTTGCTGTCGCCTTCCTGACGTGAAAGGCGCAATACCGAACGAAAGGATCTTGTTTTATTATTTTCTAAAGTATTTTGTTATTAAAAGAGGTTTTGAATAAATGCCTTGTCCGATACTGTTTGTAAGGAGAATTTCCAAATAAAACTTTGGGATGTATGCTGACTAATGCTGCATTTGGAAGTGCAGGTTTGGAACGAATCATGTTGTATGAATTGGGTTGAGGCAGTTACTCGAGCTCTGTTCAGGGACCACCTTCAGCGATGTTTGATTCTCTGTCGTATAAAGCAGCAGGCATTGCTGACTCTATATCTCATTAGTTCTTTGAAAGCAATTGGACGGACTCATTTCCTTCAAGGGAACTGTGGTTTAATCTTATGGAGAAACTGATCGTGCAATCAGCTCTGACAACAGTAAAAATTCACACACCTTATTTCAGAGTTCTGCTTTATCACTGCACATGTGCAGAACACAAACATTGGGTGTTGGCGTTAATGCAATGTACACATCCAGACGTATAAACTTAGCTATTTCTGGATGGGTCCCCAGTGATTTGTTTTAAGCTTCAATTAAAATATTGTAAAGACGAAGAAAAAAAATACTGTAGTGCACAGTTCAGTAGATATTATATCTTCTTATAGCCTACACGATATAGCATTGTTCTGCTACCTTTTGATTTATCTGAATGGTTTAGTCGTTCTGCTCCTCTCCTTACTTTAATTTTTTTTGTGTAGAGATGTTGTCCAATGGTAATGTATTCAATGTGTGCTCTGGCTATTCACGAGCAACATTTGCAACATTGCTCATGAGTAATTACCTAGTCAGCGACACTTGGAAAAATATATTTATAAAATCGCACTGCTGTTTATGAAATATCCTTTGCATAATTTTTTTGCCCATTTTCTTCTCTGCTTCTAATTTGACAACCACTCTTCAATTGTGAGTCTAGATAATGAGTATTCCCTCTCTGGTTATTGATTGAAAGAGGGCCTAGCGCAGTCAAACCCGATACTATCCTTATCTGGTATTCACATGCAAGCTATCATTAATAATATTAATAATCCTTGTATTTGATATAGTGCCTTATTACATTGTTGAGATGTCTCAAAGAGCTTCACAGAATATACTGTACAGTGGATTGACTGTATTTTGTGTACTTCTTTGGCATTTTCGCTCAGCTATCACAGGCATGCTGCACATCCCCCGACCCCTCCATGATACCATTGGTGGCCTGAGCCTTCAGCTACTACGGCCCTAATCTCCGTAGCTCCCCGCCTTAATCCCTCTGCCTTACCCCCTCTTTATCTATCTTTAAATCCCACTCTTTGATCGAGTCTATGGTCATCTCCCCTTCTCTCTTCCTCGCCAATACACAGCAAGCTGACTCTACCCTGTGTGAAGGCAACAAATAAATGCACTTGTTGTTTCAGAGCTTTCCGAGCATGACTGTAACATCCCAGGGAGGAGCTCGATACTGCAATTGTGCACCTTTAAAAACAGCTAGAATAGTGTAGGTCCCACATAGTAATTAAAATTGAGTTCCCGCAGAGATTCCTGTTTATTTTTTTCTGGCCAAGATGTCAGCAAAGGGAACCTGGCCTGGAATGTTTGTTTATCCTGGCTTTGTGCGTGAGCCCCATTGACTGCAGTTAGTGCAGTGTGACTGTGGATTGACTCCTGGGTTTGCACAATGACTTATTTTTAGTGTTTATTTGTAACAGTGGCTATGAAAACCTAGAGCCAATAGAACTGCTGCATTGAATGTAAAGTTTTGTTGTATATTGTAAATCATGTTTGGTAATGAAACTCTGTTCAAACCTGTGCAGTTTGTTTGTGTGTGAAAGTAATAGAACACAGAACAATTCCATTAGAGTTAACCTGAGGCATAATAAAAATAACCATTTTATAGAGAACTACATTGTATTCCATCAGTACCATGCATTTTGTGAATAACGGGCAACATTTGCAAAGTTTGATGCACACAGTGGTCTATTGCCTTTCTATTTAAATTGATGATTTTGTTGTTCTGATTTATTTTTCCCTTCAGTCATTTATAGATATTCATTCAGTGGTAATTTATGGCAATATGTACTTTGGCAGCTGTGACATGGCTTTCGCATCTATCCTTCAGCGAGACTTGCTCAAAAGTATTTATCAATTCTCACTGCTGTTCATGACACATCCTGTATATCAGTTCTTGATCCCACCCATTTCTTCCCCATTCCTCTCCTGCCTCACTACCAACCAAGCCTTCAGTGTAGCTCTTTAAATATGTTTCAATTGCAAAATTATGAGGGGATTCGATAGGATGAACAAGGATAAATTATTTCCACTAGCGGGTGGGTCAGTAATCCGAGGACACAGATTTAAAATAGCTGTAAAAAGAAACAGAGGGGAGGTGAGGAAATTTTTTTTCACACAGCGAGTTGTCCGGATCTGGAATGCATGACCTGAAGGGGTGGTGGAAGCCAATTTAATAACAACTTTTAAGAGAGAAGTAGATAATTATTTGAGGAGGACAAGTTTGCAGGGCTATGGGGAGAAAGCGGGGGAATGAGATTGATTTGGATAGCTCTTTTCAAAGAGCCATCACAGACACGCTGGGCTGAATGGCCTCCTTCTGTGCTGTATAATTCTATGATACAGTGGGTTAATAAAACTTTGGAATTCAAGATTTTTGCAAGGAAATTATTATGTGTAGACCAGTCTGTCTTATTGGGGCTGATGGCAGCTGTGTTGGGGAAAGAATCTCCTTTGTTCTTAGTGTCTTTGCTACAGAGAACAGCCTTAAGTTGTCTTACTGTTTTAAGTAGGGAGCTGAGAGTGGGACTGGGTCTCTATGATGCCCAATTGGTCTTTGATTACAGTGAGAGTAGTGGGGCCTGGAGAGGACCTGGAATTCCTAAAGTTGTTGTGTATCTCCTCATCGAATAAGAGATATTGTATTCTATTTTTGTTATTTAAAGGAACAAAAAATACCCATTGGAATAGCAACTCTGTGCCTAGTGAGTATTCTACTCCAACACTTGCTATAAATTGATATGAACTGTTCAGTGGATCTTAAACGATTATCAATCAACCTCCATTTCACCACCCCCAGATTGGGTGCAAACCCTGCATGGTCCGGAGCCTTGAGAGGTCCTCCTGACATGATGTTACAGTCATGTAAATTTGGTATTGTTGTTGTTAATATCATACAATGGCTGCTAAGTTAACATATACCAGAACAGTGGATCTGAAGTGATTTATGCTGTGTTTATTTCCTTGCACCTGAGATTTGAACCTGGCTTTCTATGATAGAATGGTGCAAGTAGATCACAATATTAAATCGGGGGGAGGTGGCGGGGGAGAGAGAGTTAGGTGACTGGGTTACAAAATACGACCGTGAATGGTATGCACATCAGATGAGGAAAACTAAATGGAGAATTCAATGAGTGTCTCATTAATAACAATTACCACTCCCTTAACATGGCTTTTCTTGCCACCTGAGTAGTGAGTAATGAGACCGAGAGATTTATTTTGCGATTGCAAGGTGACTGAGCGAGCTATTGATATAAATTATTGAATTGAACTCTTGCTTTCCCACTTTGTGATCCAATTTCGGAAGATTATTTTAATGCCCACGAGGATTCTTATTATAGCTGGATCAGTAAGTGATGCTTATGGAACCGTCCAGCAGCAGAAGGAAACTTAAGTCAAAAATGCCTTTCAGGAGAGACATTTCTTTTTCATTTCCTTCTGTTGCTGAACAGTAGAAATTTCCAAAGTTAAAACAGCCTCTTGTACTCCCACTTTCCAGACCTCAGTATTCCAGCTCATTGTTTTATCAGGCAGCCTCCAGAATATGCAGCACTGAAACAGACCATTTGGCCAGACTTTTCTGCGCTGGTGTTTATATTCCACATGAATGTATATTCCCACCCCCACATCCGTTTTATTCCGTACTCCTTCATGTATGTATCTTCTTAAATGCATTGATGCTTTCAGCTTCAACTGCATAAAGAGATGCGAATTACAACTGAATTGGAACTATATTCTTCATAAGTAAGCCTATGTGTGTGTATGCGTGCATGTTGGGATTGTGGGGGGGAGGGAGAGAAACGAAGGAGAGGGGACAGAGCACTTCCAGGCAGGGCGAAACCTTGGGCAAGTTTCCTTACTCCACACGCCTAATAATAATCCCTCCAAAACCAAAAACAATAATAAATTGGTCATTTTCAATCTACGACTGTTTGTGGGATATTGCTGTGCGCAATTGGCTGCCGCGTTCGCCCACAAATATACAGTCAATTCACTTTGCAGTGTGTTCTGCGAAGCGCTTTGGGACGTCCTCCCGACGTGAAAAGCGCTATATCAAATGCAAGGATTATTATTATTATTATTATTACTTAGTAACAACAGGTGCTCCCCACCCATGATTTCCAGAAATCCAGTCCTGCTGAAAATTGAGAGTCTGTGAGTGTATTTAATGGAAGTTAAATGGTAGCCCATTTTATGGCAAATTGCATTTTACTCTCCACAAGCCTTAAAATTGCTTTAAAAATGTCGAAGGGGAACATGAACTGTATTTATAGCTGTCTATCACTGGTGCGAGGTGAAAGTGTACATAATCCAGCAGCTCAGCTTCTGCCTGACACTGATTATCTTCTCTTCTCTTCTAGCTGGCAGCCATGGAGAGACAGATCTTTGATTTCCTGGGTTACCAGTGGGCTCCCATTCTGGCCAATTTCCTGCACATAATTGTTGTCATACTGGGATTGTTTGGAACCATTCAGTATAGGCCACGCTACATCGTAGTGGTAAGTCATCACTCAGCTCTCTCTCCTGTACTGAAGGAAATGCAGATATGTCAGATTCAAGCTTTAAAGCTAATCGGAAACCCATGAATAAAATAGAGATGGAGTTTTTAAAATTGATATGCTATGCTGTATTTCCTCCTTATTCCAAGTTCCACAGGGGAGATGGCATACCATCTGCTTCCAGGTATCTTACATTCTGTGGTTGGTGTCACCTGCAGCCCCTTGTATTTTTCTCCCTTTTCCTGGGAGAAATGTGTGGCCTTCACCTGCCCCCTTCACATGACATTGCAGCAGGAGAACAGAACACAACCTGTCACCGGTGTGAAGCGGAGCCTCCCATCCTGTGGGCTGAGTCTGCCAGCTTGTCCAGCAGTTTTCAATAACGAATGTGGTAGCAATCTAATAATTCTAGGTGTCTGACCTGTCTCAGTTTCTGGCACTCTTGCCTCTGAGTCTGAAATCTGTGGGTTCAAGCTCCATGATGGGGCTTTTGATCCCATGTACGCCAATGCAGTGCTGGCTATGTGCCGCATTGTCAGAAGTGCCATTCTTCAATGGGACATTAAGCTGCCATCTGCCTGGACAGGAAAACATTAAAAGATCCCATGGCACTTTTGAAAGTGAGAAGGGAATTTCTCACATGTCCTGGCCAACTTTGCCTTAGGTCGTATGGTTCATTGCACTTCATGATTGTTTGAGGTACTTTGCTGTGTGCAAATTGACTGTGGCATTCCCCTACAAAATTAGTCACTTCACTTTACAGTAAATCCTGAGAAGTGCTTTGAGACATTCTGCTGATGATCTAATGACGTCAAATGCATTGATTATTTTATTTGTAATATTAACTTGAGCCAGGCTACAGAAGCAACATGATTATTTGCACCTAATTATTTTGTTCCGAGTATAAAATGAAGGATTTTTTTGCCTTCAGTTGCAGCTTTGCCTGATATTCGCAGATTCAGCAACCCAGTAGAAAACTACAGGGAAGTGAGATTCTGGCAAAAAAAATCCCAATTGTGCACAGGTGCAAGAATTTTCAAAACTGAGTGCTTGCGAAGTTACAAAGGAATTGATTTTCTCAACACAGTTCGGGTGAATTGTGGACCCAAGTCATATTTATAATTTTGTAATTCTGGTACAAGTTAGCAACTGGAATTTGTTGCCCTTAAGTGAGAAGGTGAGTGAGGTATGTAAGATCTTAATCAGGATTCAGAAACTAAACCCACAACAATATTTTCGGATGCACCAATATAAATAGAAATATAAATATTGATTGCCTTATAATCAAATAATAATAATCCTTGCAATTGATATGGAGCCTTATCATATTGGCGAGATGTCCCAAAGTGCTTCAAAGTATATATCGTAAAGTGGTGTTAAGGTGGCTTTATCCAGTTTGGGGAACAATATGGTATATGGTTTTACCTTTTTACCTATTTTATGTGTTGATATTTGGGGATTTATGACTGTGAACAAAGTGCACGTAAAGTTCAGCATTCTTACAGCTCGATTTTTTTTTCGCAACTCAACCAAACTTGTCAATAACACGTTAATGCAACCAGAAAGTAAATTCTTTCTCCCGTCACAGACAATACCAAACCCCAGCTTGTTCCTTTATGGACCGCCCAGGCTATTTTTAGTGTATCCAAAGAATCTTTATGTTCAACTCAATGTTAATGTAATATAAGATTTTGCTTGATCCTCTTTGCCCTCTTTCCTATCATTAGCCTTCGGACGTCCTCCCGACATGAAAGGTGCTATACAAATAGAATTTTGTTGTTGTGTAGGACCTAAGCTCACTTGCCCCAATGAAATCCAGAACATCTCTCATTCTTCTTGCTCCCCTGGTACAACAGCCACCTCAGTTCCCTCAAATCAGAGTCCTATGCTTTCTAATGCAGATGATACAAAACTCACGGTTCACCGCAAGATCTGGCTTGAACACTTCCGAACTTACCACCTTTCCCTGCAAAAAGCCCAAACAGAGTTTATTCCAATGCTATCCTAGAGGCTGAAAACAATTCCAAGCATTTGTTTTACAGCTCACATCACCTCCTTTGTGCCCCTACTCAAGCGCCCTCCATTCCTCACCTCTGATATTAAATGTGAAGAGATCCTCGACTTTTTCTCATTATAAATAGACAACATCTGCTTCCTGCTTCCTCTTCTTGGATCAAGCCATCATTTCATCTCCTTTAATGGTTTCTCCTCCCCACCCCCCAAGGTCACCTGTGGTGTCTGCAAGGTTCTATCTCAGCCCCCTCCTTTTTCTCATTTATATGCTCCATTTCGGCACTGTCATCCACAGACAAGGAGTCAATTTCCACATGGATGCAGATGATACCAAATCTATTTTGCCTCCTCTAGTCACGATCCCAGACCTACCGATGTTCTGACTGTCTGCTTGTCTGACATCAACACTCGGATCAATGCCAACTTTCTATGGCTGAACATGGACAAGATGGAAGCCACCCTCCTTGCTCCGGTCAACGTCTTCTCATCTGTGCTTCTGAACTCCTTAACCTTCCCTGTCTATCCCTCAGACTCATCAAACCTGTATGTAGAGTCCTGTAGAGTAGTGTTTATAGCGCTCGCCTTGCAAGCTGGAGAACCTGTGTTTGATTTACGGGCAGGACGAAATGTTAGTTTCCTTACTCCACCTGCCTCAGTTTACCAGCAGTAAATAGGAACCCAGTCACTTGTGGATTGGTGAATCACTTTTCACAGTGGGGGGAATAATTCCTTCAGGGAATAAAAATTCCTGTTTCGCCCACAAATATGCGATCAATTAACTTTACAGTATATTCTGCGAAGCACTTTGAGACGTATAGAAGACATGAAACGCGCTATATCAAATGCAAGGATTATTATTAAAAAAAAGAATTTGGTCACTCAATCCATGACTGTTTGTGAGACACTATTGTGCGCAATTAGCTCATTCATGCTTTCATCATTTCACACGATTTTTCCAATGCACTTCTTGCCATCTCCCTAACTATTATTAACAAGGTTAACTATTAACAAGGTGCAAATGATTCAAAACTCTGCTGCCCATGTCCTCATCCATACCGGGTTCTGCACTCATCAAGGTCCTGCCAGGCTCCACTGTCTTCCTGCTGCACTTTCAAATCTTTTCACACCCTGGCACCTCCCTACCTCTCCAACCTGCTCACACCCCACTCCTCTACCTGCCGCCTTTACTTAGGACCTGTTGCATGTTCTTTGACCCCTCTGCTCCACAATTGGCTTTCAGCCAGTGTACCCGAAATCTCTGGAACTCCTTGCTTCAATTCTTCTGTCTTGCCCCCTCTCTGCCCATCTTCAAATCATGTATTTGGTAACCTCATTCTCCCCTCCCCACCCCTTTCCAGCTTGGCGTCAAGCCTCATTCTTAAGTGAAGCTACTCGTATGAAGGGTGATATACAAATGTAAGTTGTCATTAGTGTTATTCACTGAAGTCCTGACTAAATGTTTTCCCCTTATTGGCGACTCTGTCACAATATATTGGTGTCTGTATGCCTCTGTGTGTCAGTGTCCATGTGCCTCCGTGTCAGTGTCTATATGGCTCTGTGAGCCAAAACCATGAAAGGATTTTGAAATTCTGGCTGAGGATAATAGAGAATAGTATAACTAGTATATACTTTATAAAATATAAAGAATAGTATAAAGATCAGGAACTGAGGTTTGATACATTTATAAAGAAATAACAGGCATCTCATTTCTTTTCTGTCTCTACGTGTTCAATGAAAAGTATGAGTTTATTTCTCGTTCCTACAGATTGTAGCTGGGGTTGTTCCAAATTAATCAAGAAAAAACGTAAATTACATTTTCTCAGCATCACCATGAATATATTGTCATAATACCATACACTACAAAAAGACAGCTCACCAGTTTGATGGAATTAATACAAGCAACTTAAGTGGTTTTCTGTTAGTTGGCTGCACATTCCCAGTTGAGTGCCAGGATATCGCCCCTGGAGCAAGCCGCTGAATTTCCTAGCACTCCATTTATGGCGTATGCTTGTCAATCAGTAATTTTCATTGTTCCATCATTTTGCTATATTCTGCCATAAACTGCAAAGGCACTGCCAGATTGATCAAGACATATTCACCTACAAAACACAGGCTCTCCACTTTACAGCACATCCTGTGAAGCATTTTGAGACATCGTCTTAACTTGAAAGTCACTATATCAAATGCAAGGATAATTATTTTTATATATTTGTTTCAGCAGTTCAAGAAAACAACCAGTGACATTACAATATTCAGGAATATTGTAGTTTGAGCATTGTTGTGTTTTGGTACAACTTTAGTTCTTCACCGATCTTCCTATCATTTGGTTAACCTGTCTGAACATTCCTGTCCCACATAAATTGTAATCATGCTCAGCCTAAAGCAAAGCTAGTCAGGAGTAATAAGCAAATTGACACAATGTAAGGCACTCATTTACAGCATTATAATGATGTTAGCTGATCAGGTCTTTATCAGGTCACATTGGTGTAATGTCGCAGTTGCACACGCCCACACTACACTTTACAGTAGAATCCTGTGTTGGAGCTTTGAGAAGTCTCAATGGAGTGATGAAAATATCAAATGCAATATATTCCTGTATAGAGCTGAATTTTTTTACCATTTTGATGAGGATTTGATACTGGTAATTTTAAAATGGAGTGGGGTCTGTAATTGTCTTTCTTTGGCATAAAAAGATTACAGCAGTATGCCGATTATCCTCACACCAAATAACTGCATGTCTATTTATCCCCTTGCATTTCTCAAGTGTGCGTTGGACATGGGGCTGGGATGCCAGCAGAAAGAAAAATCGGTGTTAGGCTGAGCGCATACCCTCAGTTGCTAAAGGCATAATCTGATTGCTCTTAATAGTTCTCAGAAACTTTGTAAAATACAGTAGTACAAACGGATTTTAGTCATTACTGAAGTCAATTTGTATTTTACATAATGTCCGATTATCTGCATTGTTTGCTTATCCACATAGGGTGTCGGTCCCAATTAGTGTGGGTAATCAGTTATCCACTATAATATGAATGGTTATTCTAAGACAATAACTGAGGCATTCTCGTTCATGATCAGGTCTCCAGAGATTCCAGGCCAAATGACTACTTGATTTATCATCCCCTGGGATCAGCCTGGTTTCTTTTAGTAACCAGGTCCTTAACTCTTTTCCTGTCTCGCTCATTATTGCCACTGGGTTAGAGCAATTAAATTCAAATTAAAACCTTTCTAAAATATCTTTCAATGATAAATGTCCTGCTGTGAAACCAGAGTAAATAATAATATTAATAATTGTTGCATTTTGGAATGAATTGGAAAAGAAAATTACCGTGCAGACAAATAGCAAATACATTTTCATTTGGGGGGCTGTATCTGCTGAAGGATATATTTCACCTTTGATGCTGAATGGAAAATGGTTTCATCACCTGAAAGTGTGTTTTTTGGGATGTAGCCTCAGGATGTGTTGAAATTGGTTCTTGATAGCTTCCAGAAATACTGGGTACATTAATAGCATCCCTCATATTGTATGGCAGGCCTATTTCATTTTAATTGTTCCAACCTGATATGCCAAGGGTTAGAAAAAAGTGCGCATGCATTTGTGCATACAGTTGCCCAGCATTACAGGCTGTATCCAAATTAATATTGTGTGCAGTAATCGGATTGTTTGTTTTCTTTAACTCTCTGTCTGCTGCAGTTAGCATGTGATCACTCAACATTTCACTTAATGCAAGCAGATGTATAATGCATGGGTCTATATTAACATACAGTGTTAGAGCAATGCAGTGTTATAGCAAAGTGTGACGTTGAACACCTTGCATAGAAGAATGGTGGATTGCAGAACAATCTCTGTACAAGTAACAATGTAGTTGTGGTGTAGTTAATACATACACAACATTCTGGCTACATCCAAAAACTACATGCTTCCAGTGATTTCTGTAGCATTACAGAAATTCCCTTCCATTTTTGAATTGTATCAGGGGATCTTTAACTTTCACCTGAACAGGCAGACGGCCTCGGTTTAATGCATCATCCAAAGGACAGTAATTCCAGCAATGCAACACTACCCCAGCACTGCACTGGAGTGACATTTGGTGTAATTGAGTTCAAAGTTCCAACATGAGACTGGAACCTACAGCAAACTCAGAGGCGAGAGTGCTACCAATTGAGCCAGGCTGATATCTGAGATGAGACATATTAAAGAGCAAACACTGGAAGCACAGAAGGAGTAACACTACACACATAAGAAAATTAGTTCAGTATATCCTAACAATTGTCAGAATATGAGAACATAAGAACAGACTCCTGCCTGCTCATTGCAGTGCCATACCCATTGAAAGTCTATATCTTGGACTCTTCTGATGTCCACAGATAGCCAGGACCTCGGTTTAATGCCTCATCTGTAGGATAGCATCTCTAGCAATGCAGCTCTTCCTAGCACTGGACTGTAGTGTCAGCCTGGTCTGTGAGTTGAGTGTCCCACTGTGGGACTTAAACCCAACATTTTCTGACTCGGAAACAAGAGTGCTACTGTGGGAATGTAAAAGGACTAAAACACGTAAATTACAGAGTGTCTCAACAATGATAAGATTAGAGTTGTTTTTGAGCAAAAGCTGTAGATAATTAGAGCAGAACCAGTGTCCTTGTACTGTCTGCAAATGTATAATCAAGCTTGTAATGATTGAATGCTTGTCAATCAACAGCAACAATTGTTTGAGACACAAGTTAAGCATGAGGTGATTGCAAATAATCATGTATATAAACTAATGGGATTGCCCCATTGGTAGAGGGAGAGTACCGACTCTTCTGAGAGACGTGCTATTGTATTGCCTCTCGCTTTCCCTCTCCTTGCTGCAAGTATTTGAATGAACTATATTTCTGAGCTAACTCTGTTTGTGGGTGTTCGTTTAATCCTAGCTATAGCGACTACATCCTGGGTTCGACACTACCACTGAGACAGACAGACACCTTAACTTGAAGCTGAATGTGACCTGATGCTTCCAGTAATTATAAAAATGTCAACAAAGTGCATCACCCCTAACTAGCTCCTACCCCAGACAAGCTAGCTGAGATTGGAAACATCTTAAAAATAACAGGCATGAAACTCCGTAATGTGGGTCCATTGGTACCTCGATACATCACACACAATGGTGCTGCAGATGATTAATCAGTTACCAAATGGCATTTTGCAGTGATAAAGCTCTTATGCTCACTGGGTGCTCATTAGCTGCTACTTTGGATCATCCATGGCACAAGGTAGCTGCTTTTAGCCTTTGTCTTTGGGAGCAGACTAACTGCCCAAGAGGACGATTCTCAAATCTTTAAGCACAATGAACCTGGTAAAGTATGCTATTTTAATAATATAATAATCCTTGCATTTGATATAGCACATTATCACGTCTTCAAGATGTCTGTAATATAAAGTGTAATAAAGTGAATTGACTGTATATTTTGTGGGTGAAATTTTAGCCCATTCTTAGCCTCTCTCTCTTATGGGTGATATCAATGATTCCTTCTTGTTGTCAGTGATGTTTAAAGATGCTAATATTTTGCTCCAGTCAGTGTCGTGAGTAAATTCAGACTGTGGGTGGTTATACTTTTGACAAAATATAAATCTTTGTTTATTAGTTTATTTTTAGACTAACCGTGTTATTGTCTGTAATTTGCCGAGGTTAGTAGAGAGCTGAATTTGGGGTAGGTTGGGGGAATTGCAATCCTTTGTGTATACGCTCTGATTTATGCTTCAAAATCTTGGTACCAATACGTTTTTATAATATTAATGTGACTGTTCTTCATGCCATGGTCTCATTTTCTGTTTCCTTTTGTTATGTGTCTAGTACTCCATCTGGACAGCTCTGTGGGTCGCTTGGAATGTATTTGTCATCTGCTTCTATTTGGAAGTTGGAGGGCTCTCAGAGGTAAGGACTAGCATTTAAAGCAGACTTCATACACCAAAGCTCAGCTGGCGCTCAGGCAGCCTGCAAAAGGCTTTGGAGTAAATCGGGGCTTATTATATGAGTCGGGTAAACCATGTGCGCGTGGAGGGAAAAAATAATGTGACTTTGATTCTAAAATTAATGATCAGAAGAAACGATTACACATCATGTAATAGTTTTCATTGATTGATAGTTGTGCAATGAAGGGTACCTCTAAATCCATCTGCAAACCCTGAACTGTTCATTGCCTTAGAGACATCCTTTTGATGTGAAAGGCGCTATATAAATGTAAATTTGTATCGTCTTTATTTATTTATAGAAATAAAGGTATTTGTTTCGCCCACAAAATACACAGTCAATCCACTCTACAGTATATCCTGTGAAGCACTTTGAGACATCTCGATAATAATAATAATTCTTTCATTTGATATAGCACCTTTTTATGTGTTCTAGACGCCTCAAAGCACTTCACGGAATACACTGTAAAGTGAATTGACAGTATATTTGTGGGCGAAATGCGGCAGACAATTGCGCACAGCAGTGTCCCACAAACAGTCGTGGATTGAGTGACCAATTTATTATTTTTATTTTATTTCTTGAGGGATTATTATCAGACGTGTCGAGTAAGGAAGCTTGCCTAAGGTTTCGCCCTGTCTCGATGACATGAGATGCAATATATATGTATAATAATAATAACAAAAATAATAATTTGGTCACTCAATCCACGACTACTTTATTGTATTGTGTGCATGGTTTACATATGGCTTATACAATAGATCCCAATGATAAATTCATGACTTCCCGCCCCCCAAACCAAGTTCCCTTAAATGAATTGTTAGCAACATTTGCTTTCACCTTTCCCTTCATTTGCTTTACATGAGAATTCTGACTGTCCACCTGGCAGCAATTGTCCCTGCAACTCAGTTGCCATGACAATATCTTGTCATTTCTTGTAGCTTCTTAACTACTTTAACCTTTCCGTTCTATAAGTGAATGTGAGAAAGCTCCAGTTTTTGTTCTTTACAAACCCGTAGTGTTTGGCAAAAAAAAATCAGCTGTGAGCACAAAATACAATGTTAGATAATGATCTGGGAATAACGAATAATTCCATGTCTTTTATTAATTGCAAAGAATCTTCAATAGAAAGTACTTTGCATTGTCTGAGGTATCGGTGTCTAAGGATTCAAGGTGACCTGTTTTATATAATTGGAAATCTTAGCTTCCAGTCAACAAATTCAGTCTTTATTGCCTGGTAACAGTGATCCTCTGGAACAGAAATGTCTCGGTAGAAATAAAGATATGCCTCACTTTAGTTTTAGCGTTCAGCAGCGTTGAGTGCATCTTGTAGCCCTGTGTAAACCGAGTGCAGTCATTACTCTACGGTCACTTTAAATTAAACTGCAATTTTGTGACATGCTATTTCAACTGTTGTATTATTACACTTTTAACTGGCACATTGTCAAGGAGGAAACGAACACGCTGCACCACATTACTATCCTATGTTACCATATATTAGAGAATAGCAGCAATCAATAGTTGTGGAATTTGAAACACGCACAATTCATAATCTGAATACTGCGGTAATCCTTTGATAATGGAGTTTAAAACATGCTGTCAGATTAAATTGGTCACTCACTTCATGGCTGTTTATGGGATATTGTTATGCGCATATTGATTGCCATTTTCGCTACAAATACAATACAAAATTGCATTTGTACAGAGCCTTTCGCGTCGGGAGGATGTCCCAAGATGCTGGACAGTCACGGATTTGGACCCAAGCAGGGGGGTTGGGATCAGGGAGGGTGGAGGCCAGGGAGGGTAGCTCGACACTTCACAATAAAAATCCTGCGAATTGCTTTGTAACGTCCCGATGACATGACAGGGCGCTATTTCAAGAGTAAGGATTATTGTTATTAATTGGAATCTCGCACAGTGACTCGTGCCGCTTACCGGAAGTGTATCATGGTGACCCGTGCAAAATCTCCCTCAGAAATGAATTGTGTCGGAGTGGAGTTGCCGCAGGTCAGTGTGTTGCACTTCTAGTTACTGCAGAAGGCAGTATTAGCCACTCCAGTTAGGAATACAGGTGAGCGCTACATATCTTTAAATTGCAATAGGGCTAAGAAAGAAAGTTGACAAATTTGTTTGCAGAAAATCTTCAAAAGCATCACACGTTACCTGTGTGAAGGCTGCTATATAAATGCATGTTGTTGTTGGTTAGTCATGCAGTTTGTCTCCAGCTGCTTGTTTAAACTGGCAGTAGGTATTAGGGAAATATTTTATACAGGTACAACACTAAGTTGGGGAGGCAGAGAAAGAGAGAGAAACATACAAACACACACAAAGCGAGAGTGAGGGATTTGCACATATATTGAGAGAGACGTGTATACTAGGCACATATAAACACACAGGAGAGAGATACACATACATAAACAGAGAGACCACACAGGTTAGAAGTATTACAGTGGTTGGGGAGGAAGAAAACAAATGCTGGCATTGTGTGGTGTTATAGTAACAGTATAACTCCTAATGGAAGGAATTTTGCTGAGTACGATATATTGTATTTCACGTACACTGTTTTCACATCCACAATAAAGCCAACCCCAATTATTAGGTATATTGTGCAATCTACTGTATGGCATTTTGCACAATGGTGTCATTCATCATTTGGCCTTTGCTCATGGGACTTTTCTGACACATGAGCAATGGCACCTTAAACACAACTGGGTTTTATTTCTTCAGTGTTTACTCAATTATCTAAAAATGTACACAGGAATCGTAGATTACACAGGGCAAGATAAAGAACATTGCAAAACCAGGAGAAAAATAATCCTACCCTCATTCGCTGATCCATTTCTTTGCCAAATAGTTATGTAAATGCCACTTGAATTTGCTGAAATAATTGGCCATGTCACTATTAATAATAATAATGATAACAATGATAATCCTTGCATTTGATATAGCACCTTATCACGTCTTCTAGACGTCTCAAAGAACATCACAGAATATACTGTAAAGTGAATTGACTATGTCTGGTGGGCAAAACGCGGCAGCCAATTGAGCTCAGCAGTGTCCCACAAACAGTGTCCAAATTCTTCTTATTTTTTTTGGAAGGAATTATTACTCCTGGAAAAGCGATCCACCAATCGACTAACGACTGGGTTCCTACTTAATGCTAGGTAAACAGAGGGTGTAGAGTAAGGAATTCCATATATTCAACACACTCTGTATAAAGTACTTACATTTGAATTGTATTCATTTTCTTTCATTTGAGCTTGAGTCCACAAAGTATTTTTTGGCTAACATTGGTCTCTACAATGGGGTAGAAATTCCACCGGGGCTCAATTTGCTTGATTTTCTTATCATTTCAGAGCGTTCTGAGTTTGGTAAATTCTCAAATGCAAGTCTTTAATTTTGAAGCTGATTTTTTGGACGTTCCTTTGAAGAGCTACAGACCAGCTTTATATTCAACAATTAGTCAAATTCGGGAATCTCTGAAATGAAGTACCTCTAGACCCAGGTGGTTTGCATTCAGAAATTCCTAAACTATTGAATAGGAAGCCATTCTCAGTGCCGACATCTTTCTATGTTTCTGTCTATGTAACTGATGCTGACCACTTGTCTTCCGACTGGTGGGTTTGTGGTTTTTTGTAATTAAAAACTTAAAGCAGAGTAAGAAACTACAATTTAGCCAACTTCATATATTAGACCCCAATGCGTATTTCCACTTTGATATTTAATATTGGCCATGAAATGTAGTCTTGACAGTTTTTAGATATCTCAGGCTCCCTTAAGGAGAACTGCAGAGAACTGTGTTTTCCAAATTAACACCATATTAATTTTTTTTAAATCAAAATTCACGTCTCCTTATATTTTAATGCAATGATCTTAAAGGTAAGACCATGAGAAATTTTGGGCCTCTTATGTCAACAACAACAACAACTTGCATTTATATATTGCCCTTCACGCAGGATAGTGTTGCCATAGTGTCAACGTGGAAGGAAGAAAATTCCAGCTGATATTTACAGTTAGCAAACAAACAGACTTGAATGAAACAAAACTAAAAGTATATCCGGCTCCTATAGACCTTTTAGTGCTGCTTGCGCTTGCACCTGAGGGATGATGTGGTTGGTTTATGGTGAGAGCATTCTGAATTATTCAACATGAAATTGTTGGATGGTTGGTTGATGCGGAAAAAGCTCTGTGGTATTTTGAAAATTCCGGTCAGAGGTGGTGGAATTTGCGAGATGAATGATGCCACTTGGTTTGAATAATTCAAAGCGAAAGGGATGTGTAAATTAGTGAGGTGAGACTGACTGTTTGGACATGTGGTATGGGATTAAAATGCCTCTATATTATTAAAGACAATAGGTGTTGGCACTTGAGGAGGTGTCAATAACCAATAGGTACATTAGAGCTTTGGAAGAGCATGATTTGGATCTTCTTTTGGGAACAGGGTTAAAATTTACAATAAAGCTGGTCACTAAGTGGGGTAATATTTTTTTAACGATAATTCTTTCATTTGATATTAGCACCTTTCACATGAGGAGGAAGTCTTAAAGCAGGATTTATTGCATTGTGCAGTGACTGTGTTGAAGGCAAACCTGGCAGCCAATTTACACATAGGAATCCCCCACAAATAGACATGAAGTAAATGAACAATTTTATCTGGCCAGGACACTGGGGAAACTCCCTTATCTTTTTGAGTAGTGCCATGGGAATGTTAAGGTTCACCTCAACAGACAGATGGGAACTTGGTTCAACACATTGGGGGATTATTATCAGGCGTGTGGAGTAAAGAAACTTGCCCATGGTTTCGCCCTGCCGGGAATCAAAACCAGGTCTCTAGCTTGCGAAGCGAGTGCTACAGGCTATATGACTCCGATATAAACTGTATTGTATAAATATTCAGTATAGTGGATAAAAAAGTAAAGCAGACAAACTGAAGCTGGTAATGTTCTTGGCTTTTTGTTTCTTCTTTG